TAGAGTACAAAGAATCTGTACTTCAAAGTAGTTCAGTTGAATACATTATGTTATTTCAGTATATATAGCCATACGTTTGCTGGTTCTTGGCCAGTGTGGTAGTAAATACAAACATGACGATATCCTGGAAGTACCTTCAGCAGTAATGATTCAAATCAAAGTGCTCAGCACTTTTTCTAAAAGATCCTCGTCAAAAATTGACCGCCGATTCTTACGACCCGCTGCTCTACAGCAGAATCTCGTAACCGAGATACGAAGGTGTATAACCTACACTATTGCAAGGGTCCTTTCTCTTTGTTTGAGCTCCTATGCGTAATGAGGACGCAAACGGTCCCTACGGGATTCCTCGTGGGACTTGTGTCCCCGCATATCCAATATGTTCCAGGGCGATATGAGTTCCTAGATGATCGCTTGTGTGTATAGTGTCGCACGTCGTTCTCCCCACGGTCCACTGGCATAGCACACTATGATTCTGAGCGCTGCCGGTCTGTGCACCAGGATGTGCTTCACAAATATGGTGTTCCATTGCCCGAGGCGTTACATCGTCCAAAGGACGATCGCAGCCAATCCATTTGCAATGATATTGACCTGGAATAGGGAGAGTTCTGTGTCCGCCACCGTCAAGCATCAAATTGGTTACTGTCACAAGAACGTAAATTATATGAAGTGAAAGGAAAATTTGCACGCCGTACCTACGTTGGCCTCATATTTCGGCAAATTTGCCCTTGTTACCTCAAAATATGGTGGTACAGGATCGTCTGTAAAAGACTAAGCATTCGCAAGAGACATAATCGGAATTGTTACCTAAATTGTCCGGGATAGATTCTTTGTAGTATCGGACAACTTCACCCGTACAATTGGGCACCGAAGGCAGCCTGTTCTCAGTGCCTGGATGGCATAAATCTGCACGCCTTTGCTCTATGGCATCCGCTAAAACAATCTGGAGCAAAAAATGCGCTGCGAACTGAGCGTCGTAGTCACAAGCGTGCCGGTGTATACCATTTGCTTACTATAGTTCTGTCCCTAAGATCTTCTGCCTTCTTGTTGAGTGAACACACGTGTCTCGTAGCCTTTAGGTGTGTCGTGGACGAGTCGGCCCGGAGCACATCGGCGCGTGCAACGTACAAGTCTTTTGATAAGCTTGTAAAATATGTCAGGTACAAATGATGAGCCGACTCACTAGGTAGGTCAAGGCACTTACACCTGTAATTCCGATTGCATGGCTATCAAAGAGTGCGAATATACCCCATCGTCTAAGGCATCTTTGATCCAGACGCAAACATCTCGTATTATGTCTTCCGTGGACTGCCGCGGGCGAAGTGGTACTGTGTCTGTAGCCCAGCGACATACAGGCAGTGTAAGTGCGGACAGCGCCAAAACGGCATGAGGAAGTTCAGGGAATGCTGGTAACGAAGACCAAAACATGATGTAGTGGAAGAGGCTACATTCGCAATCCTCCAGTGACTCTTACTTATAGTTGGATGAGGGTACGGAAACCGTCGTGGGATCCACCGCGTGGAATGGGCGAGGCAGAAGTCGTGCCCCGTGAAGATGTCTGCCCAGCCAATAGAAAGCTGCGATCTGCTTTGTTTGAACGATAGGCCTAGCGCAGCGCTATCTTTATCTGGCTCCGCGGTGGCTGATGCCGGCTTAGCTGAGCGAGACATGCCATATATGGCAAGGGGATTCAGCGCCCGCCGACATACGGGGGTCTCGGTATGCAAGTTGCCAGCTACGGAAACGCAACACAAGGAAGGAATGCGCCACCTCGCGTTGAAAGGTTTCTTGTGCTTACTTCGGAGACAGTGTGCCGGGTGATAACATGCACATCACGGCCAGTTCAAGTCCACGGGAGCGCCCGAGTATCGATCACGAGGCGCAGGCGCGCAGAGGAACAAGCCTGAACTCTGCTTCAAAGCAACTATCTTGCACGCTACAGTACTCTCAATCATCACTATGCATACAGTACACTTGGCTTGTCTCAGCTTCAGATGCGATTTCTGAGCTGTAGTACATGTCGGACACCGCCTGCCTCGAGGTTCACGCATGGTCACGTTCATGCAGTCAGATGGACAACGCCGAAGGTGAAGCCTTGAGGCTCCAGCAATTCTGGATGGTCTTCCAATTTGTTCAGCGCCGAAGCTTCGCCACGTTGAGACCTCAAGCCCACGAAGCTGAACTCAAATATGGTGGGTAGCAGGCCTCTGCAGATACAACATGCCCCCCATGAATATCGAGCTCTTCACCGTTATCGTTGGCTTACTGAGCCTTGCAACTCTCTTTTCCCCCGTCTATGCCTTCATTGAGAGCTGGTCTATGACCTCCATGCACAAGACCATCTACAAGGCATTAGAAGAAGCCCGTCAGCTGTTGTCAGGTCGCGCAGGCGTGGAGTCTCTTCTAGAAGAGCTGCGACGGTGCGTGTCTATACAAGTCAGGATAGTTCGTGAACCCCTCCGCTTACTTCGAATGATTGAACAGTTTGAGAGACGAATTGTTTATACTGCACGCTCAAGCAATACGGCCGCGTTCTATATGGTCCGGGAGGTATATGTCGGCGCTGTACCACATGTACCTCCTTTACAAGAACGCAATGTCTCTTAGAGACAGAGCCTTGGTAATCGTTCTTTGACGATGTCGACGTTTCTTCACGTTATTCATACAGACCACATCTCAGATCTTTGTTGCGGATGCCGTCATAGAGGAACGGACCGTGGTTCTGAAATCATCGGGCTCTAGCATCACTGAGCAATTACAGTTGTCCAGTTTGCGAACCATAGACATTATGGAGCGTGGAGTCTCATGGCAAGGCTCAATTAATAGCTCTTCCGTTCTTGAGCTTGATCTGTCGGCGGATTATCTGATGGGGCGGCAGATACAAGATCCACCGCCTTCCCTCGCACTGGAATACACGTCGCCGTCATCATCGTCGCCGTCGCCTACAAGTCAGAGCGCCAGCCATCGATCCCCGACCCTTGAATCGCCCCGACGCTTTCCCAATGGTACCTTGCTACGTATGTTGCCATTCTTTATGTATGAGATCATACTGCTAACAAAAAGGGAGTTTTCAGGTTCTGTCAACGCGGCTCGTCGTTCCACACTTCCTACTCAACATGTGAGAGAAGACCCAATTGTCCGTTCAGACGCTATTCGTCGCTCTCCGTCTGGTACCCAGTCTATATAACTTGATCCGGTCGGGTCCTCAGGATGACACTATTATAGAAGCAGGGATCATTGGTAATTATGTGTGGACACTGGGGATGGCATAGAGTGGGGTGGGAGACAAAACTTGCCGCTCGCCCGAATGTATGCCCGACCATATATGGCGACTACTTTGTACTTATACATATCTAGACGCACGACCAATACTTGTGCTTATGTTTATACCCACGACCACTTGACGACCACTTGTACTTATACTACCTGTTTTTATCCATGACTACATCATGAGATTGGCGTTCGGGTCGTAATATACAAACACATGAAGCATGCGAGGGCCAAAAATATTGTAACATTAGATGCCAGATGGCAAGTAGTTGACACAAGAAAACACTCCTGCACGCATCAGAGGTGAAAGGCTATGTGCCGTACTTGTTTGAATCGAGAATATGTATTCCAATCGCGAGTCCTACCTGATGCTCGCCTCGAGCTCTCCATGTCTTGCATAATAATTTTTGGTGTCTGCACGGCGAAAGAAATTTGTAAACTAGGACTGAGGAAATATTGATAGACGCGATAGAGCACATTTCCGTGGCCTTCTGAAAAGGTCGTGGTATTATGGCGGCCCGAGATGAGTTCATAACCTCCAGAGCTTCGACATTTACGTATGGTGAATCACTTACTTAAATGCTCAGACCAATTCATTTTGGCAAGGTGGAGACGCGAGCGATAGGCAATATTATGATTTTACACAATTCAAGCTCCATATGAGATTATCGTCGTCACATTTGAATATGAAGATCACCAGACACAATCAATCAACTTGGAGACCATTGATGTAGAGAAGGTTTGAAGCTTGAAGCTTCAAATTCCTAACACAAAGAGCTACACATAGTACAAGTAGTACAAGTTAGTACACCTTCTGTCTCAGGTGAACGTGACCATGATCACACGAACGTGACGCAACGCGAATTAACGCGATGACGTGACGCGCGTATGGAGGCCGTGGAGAATGGAGAAGCAAAAGTTAAGCCACTTGCACCACTCTTTGCCGGACGCTATATCATGGCGGCACGCCTGTCCAAACCTCCCACCTTTCTGCTATGTCGCCTGCCATTTTATCGAGTATCACCACCACCGAGGTGCCCGTTGTTTCGGGGGACATCCTGCGTTCCATCGCAACACCTGTAGTCCTACCAACCGCATCGACTGCGTCCAAACGTAGAGGATCCGTCGCAGAGACCGTGGGCGTAGACCTCAATGCCATAGGCAAAGGTATATCTGCCAACTTATCAGCTGCAACACTCGTCTTACAGAGTTGGAATAGTGGAGGCCCGAAAAATTATGTCGGAAGAGCATCGAATACTCGGTTTCAGGCCACCACATGATTCCCTAGCCGCCGAGGCTCAGGCCGCAGCGGCGAAACACCCAGAAGGCAATCCTGAGAAACAGCCACCCGATCCGTTGAAGCTGAAGGAACTCGCCCGCCAGGACGCCTTGCGAATCCTGTGAGCCGCCCTCAGCGTCCGTAAAATTTACGTGACTGAATATGGAGTCAGGTCTGAAAGAGAGACAAATATCGACTCGAGCTCAACGGTCGCAAGCGGGTCCGGCAAATCCCCCAAGTCGTCATTGCCGCCAACTGGAGGAGTGAACCTCGCCACGATCAGCGCATCCGAGGCTCGCTCGCTCATGTCGCACGAGCATCGTGCCCTTGGTTTCCGCCCGCCACCGGGTTCGCTTGCAGCAGAGGCGCAGGCGGCCGCGGCGAGACACCCCGACGGTGCAGGCATGGCGACTGTAGACGCAGAGATACTGAAAGAAATCGCAATGCGCGACGCAGAGCGCATCAAAGCGGACCGGGAGCTCAATATAGTTGGCGAGGTGAACGTCAGCACGATTGGAATCGTGGGCGCAGAGCGGCTCGCGCAGGCCACGGAGCGCGTCTTAGGCCATACGCCCCCACCAGGATCGATGGCAGCCGAGGCAAAGCAGGCTGCTGCAGTACATCCCAAAGGTGGGAGCTTTCCTGCAATGGGTGGCGACGTAGAGCAGCTTGAAGAGGTTGGATGCCGTGAAGGAGAACGGCTGAAGGCACAGGAGAATAAGGACCGAAAGGTCGAAGCTGAGGAAGTTCGCATAGAAGATGTTGGCGAGGTTGTTGACGGATCAAGCTCTCTTATCCTCGGGACAACAACCGAAGAGGTTGGCCTCGCTAACCTGGAACATTTGGCTGTGAAAAATGGGATGGGCAGGGTGCTCCAGGAGGCAGTCGTGCGCTCAGACTCGACGGGTGATTCTGTAGAGATCGTTGGGGACGTCGTCAGCGGATAGACGGATAGACTGAAATGTGCTAGCCGGTCACTGCGAGTGAAAGCGGATCGCGCGTAGTTTGCTCCAGCTTGCTGCGTATCTTATGTAAGGATTGATGTGGAGTCGATTGATACCCATTGTATTGTACTCTGTGCTTCAACGTTTGCAGCTATACGTGACGTTTTGGTTCAAAGTCTTCACCTTAAACTCACGCTTTAGTTAATCGATGGAAGAGCCTGGGGCCACGACCAGACAGCTGACTAAGCCCTGTGCCCTGGCAAGCGGCTATTCCGAAGAAAATGAAAACTCGGAGGACATTCTGAGTGTATTAGGTTTGGACGGAGAAAGCTGAAGCCTGATAGCCGTCTCATGGGCCATCGTAGGCCTAGCCTTTGTCGACTTGACCTTTCACTCCGCCGTGCGCAGCAGGAAAGTCAGGCTGGGGCTCCTTGGGCGCACCTCCCTACACTTGAAGTATATGGTTCTCGTTAATCTCCCCTAAGCGGCCCTTGAATAACGAGTTTTAGAGCGTAATGCGGGTGGTCGTTGGTTCTCGCAATGCTTCAACTCGCAATGCTTCAACTCCGCGCGTAACGAGAGACGAAAATATCACGCCTCAACGTCTCAGGTCTTACACCGTATCCGTCTATAGTATGTACTGCCATCGCCCTGCGTACCGTATCGATGCCAAGCGAGACGATGGCGTGTCCTCAGGGCATGATCATCTCCCAATCCGCTCGACAGCTCCTCGGAGATGCTGTGTGCAGTGTCCTCCAGGTTGATCCTGCTGTCGGTGTCCGGTGCACAAGTACCTTTCGCGTCCGCCCGCTCATTGTTTTCTGTAGTGGGATGGCAGCGTGCCGTAGGCCCTTTCCTCGGTACTACCTGATATCCTCGCACACACTATGCACGCACATGCGTCCCGAATGTCAGACGTTCCGGTGCGTCTTGGATGTTGTCAGCCTCATAACCTCGCGCATCCGCCTCGACCGACGAGCCCAGGAGGGTACGACAAACACGGCTGGTCCTAATAGGTCTCTAGGCTGGTGCCAACTCATAATTTTACGATTGCTCTCTGACCCTTTTGTCATAGCGTGTTAGTGGTACGATCTTCTCGCACTGGCGATGAAGCTCATTCCTCTTGAATGCAGAAGCTAGGAAGCTGTCGACATGCTGGTCATGCACGTGTTTATTCGCTATCATCTTGGGATGCTGTGGCCCCTAGCCTAATAGTGGCTCCAAGGTACGTACACCGACCGCGTTTGGCTCATATGCCCGGAGCTGGTGAACCAAATAACCACCAGGAAGATCTCTGTGACAGTGTTAGACATAAAATGCTCACTGCAGAGATGTCGTAACTACAGGACTTACCGTGATGGCTGTGTCTTAATTTGTGGCCGGCTCAGGACGGTAGCTGAAACGCTGGCGTATGTGTCCACCTACGAGGGACATAAAAGGATGGTTTACGGGGTTCAATTAACATACCAACCCTCCTCATTCTCACTTCTCATACAACCAGCAACATGTTACGTATAGGCCTCGAACAACCCTGGTCGTTTGATGATGATCCTTCGGGCGCTGAAACGTAAGTTTTTAAATTCTCCCATGCTCAGTATTCGCTGACGTGCATCTGGTATCCCCTCCCCTCCTCCGCCCCAAGCGGGACTTATGCAGGAGAGCAGATTGCTCATGATGCAGGCGCTTATCCTAGAGTCCATGTGGGCGTTGAGTGGGACTTCATGACCTCGACGGAAGAAGATCCCATTCGCTATTCTGCCGAATGGGGGACGCTCGTACATTCGAATCCAGCAATGCTTATTTCACACCTAGCAGCCGAGGAAAGCACGCTGAACGCGTCTGGGTCCATTCCAATTGTAGAACATTCCGTTGCCTATCAGGCCAACCCGGTCTTGCCATTAGCCGTGGGGGCGACGTCGCTGATCGATCAATGGGTCTTACCTGATGGGGCCCTGGTTCCTACCGTCGATACTCAATGTGCGACCGGTGCCCCTTCGTGGATGTTCGCACCGATCGAGGAGGACAAAGAAGCACCTGAAACCAGCGGAGTATCCGACGGGGGCGATGGTGGGGCGTTTACGGACCTCTCTACGTCTCTTGCAGTGCACGCAGAGGCGCTTGTGTCGATGGACATCTGCCAATGGGACGAGTGTGGTGCGCCGCTGTATGCTATTAGCCATATCAGGGAGCGCCACATCGACAAATGCGCCCGCGATGCACGAGAGAGCGTGGCGTGCAAGTGGGGGCAGTGCGGATCGAAAACGATGAAGCAGAACCTCCTGAAGCATATTCGCTGCGTGCACCTGCGCATGCTGGAGGTGGCTTGCCAGCATTGCGGGGCTATATTTTCTAGGAAGGATGCGCTTCGCCGTCATCAGAGCAAATTTGGTCAATTGTGCAAGCTGAGGTCGCGACGCACGCGATCGACCGTTCGTGGTGGATGAGAAGGAAGGGGGCGTTAAGATTAACCAACAGCGTGACGGAGAGAAGGTAATAATCTGAACTATGTTACGAGTTTCCCCTTGACACTGGACAACTTTCTCGCTGAGCTCAAAATAAATGAACCACCGTCTTGACATGTACTATAGCTATGAATTCATCCTTGTTACTGAACACTAGGAAATTTACGAGCCAATTGTTCTATCCATGGCGATTTATATGTATTCCCTGCGATAGTATTACCAAGGATGCGCAGACTGACCTTGTTCAGTATGATACCACTAGTATTGTACACTCAACGAGTATCGAGGTATCGAACGAAGAAGTGCAGCCAAAATTGATGGGATCGGGGTATTTAAGCATAATTAATATTTAACCTCCAAACATTGTCGACGCGAGGACCCAATGAACGATCGCTGTTATCGTTGGTGACTATTCGGATATTATATCTATTTACTTAAATTCCGAACCTTTCTGGCGGCTGAAATCCGCCGGGAATGCAGCGCGCGTATCATAGTCGCTTTTGGCCACTTCTATTATATATCACCTTCAATCCTCCTCTTCCTCGGAGAGCTCAGCATGCCTCGAGCGACTTCCGACCGGTTCAGCAGGGCGCACCAGCCTTCAGCTAAGCCCAAAGCTTCCTCCGAGTCGAACACTTCGGGTTCAGGCGTACATAACCCTATATTCAATACAGAGCGGTTCGGCCAGCATATCTTAAAAAATCCACAGACGGCTCAATCGTACGTCTCCGCTGGGGCTGCACGTTGGGAGTGCTGACAATGTAAAGATAGCATAGTTGATACGGTGTGTTCTGGCGTCTCCCAGAAACAGGGAGATAGAATACTGATGAGCAATGGACAGGCAAATTTACGACCTACGGACAAAGTACTAGAAGTTGGTCCGGGTACAGGAAATTTGACAGTGCGGATACTGGAAAAAGCGAAGCATGTCACTGCAGTCGAGATGGATCCGCGGATGGCTGCCGAGCTCACGAAGCGAGTACAGGGAAAGTGAGTTGTGCTCCATTCATTCGTCGAGTCCGGTCTGACATAGGTCCATCCACGATGGCTAACAGACCTGAGCAACGCAAGTTGGAAATCATGATCGGGGACTTTGTCAAAGCGACACTGCCGTATTTCGATGTGTGCATATCAAACACCCCATACCAAATATCATCGCCGCTCGTATTCCGCCTGCTCTCACACCGTCCACTATTTCGCACAGCCATTCTCATGTTCCAGCGCGAATTCGCCCTTCGACTCGTCGCGCGGCCAGGGACGGAACTTTGGTCACGATTATCTGCGAACGTGCAATTATACGCGAAGGTGGACCTTGTCATGAACGTCAGCAAGAACAACTTCCGCCCACCGCCGAAGGTGGAGAGCAGCGTTATCCGATTAGTTCCCCGCGATCCTCCACCACCGGTCGAGTTTGGGGAGTTTGATGGACTGCTGAGGATTGTCTTCGGGAGGAAGAACAAAACGGTGCATGCCAATTTCCAGGCGAAGGGCGTGACAGAAATGCTAGAGAGTAATTGGCGTACATGGGCTTCGGTGAATAATGTGGTACGCGAACATGAGATAACTACTCCTTCGGTTTCAAGGGCTGAGATCGTAGTACAGATGATCGAGGATGGAATGAATATGAAGAAGAAAGTTGAAGAAGTTCTTCAGGAGACAGGCTTTTCGGAGAGTCGGCCGGCAAAGATGGACATCGACGACCTTCTCAAGTACGTGACACTTTCTCTCGTGGCTTCCATCGTTCATCCGACACTCTACATTCACTCACCAGGTTGCTGTCCGCTTTCCATGACGTTGGTATACACTTCGCGTAACCATTGCCACACCTCATCTCATTCAGTACCCTTCCTCACATTGACATCGACTCATGTAGCATCAGCACGGTACGCTTCGCATACATTTACTAAAAGTACCTCACTGTATACCATATACATATGTACATCTGTACTAGATGCTCATTTCCGCGACTGACTTGCCGTCACCGATCCCAGGACGATACGCCCGGTAATTGTGCCCATAAGTGCTTCACAGCTCCTACTAGGTCGCCGAACCGAAAGGCATTCGCCAACAAGAGTACTGGCACGTCATCAACAATTGAGGCGATCTCACCCCGAAGCGACGTAAGACTTACAGGCTGTACTTTGGCCCCGGGTTTGCATAATATGGTCCGCGCGGCACCTCACAGATCTATAGCTATCTGCTGGACCTCGTACTGTTTCGGGGTCAGCGTCCTCTGTGGGAAAGGAGAGATAAAGAAAGTTGCATGTGTGTTAAAGCCGTGTGCTCCCAATGGACAAATCAGGACCCACCTGCGAGAACGCATGCATCTGAGCGATCTGATTCTTCAGCAGCTCGTTGACTGTGTCCTCGTCACATAGCCATCCAGATCTGTACATATCGCACTCACTGAATCGGTGTCTTGCAAGAGTGTTCTTCCCCTCGAATGCCTGTCCCGCGGTAAGGTCTTCCAGCTTAGAAAAAAAGCAGACTTAGACTCACCGAGCTGACTACGAACACGGCGTAGTTCTCGCCGCACCCGTTGGACTGGTCGATGATCTCCAGGTGGATAATCGGGATGGCTGAGCGGATTGCGCTCTCGAGATCAAGAATGGAGATGGGCATGTTGCGCGGTCCTGACGACTAGAGGGACGTGGGGGTATTGGTGTGTGCGCGGGGCGGGAGGGAATGTTAGGATCCGTGGGGCTATCTGATAAGATTTATAAGAATCGGAAATTCCCGCCGCTACTGAGATTCGCCTGCTCCGATCCCGTCGTGAGTCCGCCACAGTCCCAAGACATGAGGATAGGTACAGTCGAACACAAATCATAAGCTTAGCATTGGATGGGAACGGACGCTAGAGAAGGAGAGCGGAGCTGGTATCATACTTGAACCCTTTTAAAACGCTATCGCTGATCTTGTAAGCCGTCAATGAAACAGGATTTGACATATATCTGACTTTCTAGTGGCTGCTGATTCTAGAAACAACAATATTGCGTATAACCCGCCCAGTCATGCGTAAGCTGGACCAATGACGACTGGACCAAATGGTTTGTAAGATAGTCATGGGGGACTGCCAGTGGCCGCTCGAAACTCATACTAAATTCCGCTAGGACGGGGAAACGTCGACCTATGCACGACAGAACCGCGTTCGTTGATTATTGAAGATGGTCTCAGCTTCCATTCGACTAAATGGGATTAGTCCACCCACCCGCGCATCGAGAACGGTGGACTATCGAAGATGTCCCACGGGCACTGCTTCATCCTCATGGGGGGGATACCGGCAACGGAGGACCTTCCAGGTATCACAAGGGTCCGGAGCACGGCGGAAATATACCTGAATGGGCGGGCAGTGCAGACGAACTCTGTAATCCAGAGATAAAGGGGGTGACCGAAAATGTCTTGGCCGACAACTGGGCTGGGATTGGGGGACCACGAGAAGAGGGCAAGGGATCCCTATGTGTACGAGAGCTCAATTAGAGCTGCAGATGGATTGTTTGGGAGTAACTAGCTAGACTGACGTATTGAGCTATACTGTGGACAGTCAGCAAGGAATGCGGAACGATCCAGGATGCATATGTACTGGCTCTTGTCTGGCCTTATCGGAACCGCACTACCCACTTATTTAGTGCAGCGTAGATCTACAGACCAGAATGCCACGCACCTGCTTCTAATAGTGTCCGTTAGTTCTCTCACGGTGGGTCCGACACCTCGCAAACGGATCCATGTATGTACCATTCCCCGGCAAGCTTCAAAATGGCGATGCTAATCCCATTTCCATGGAATAGTGTCCAAGGACTCCGAACAAACCACCTACGCCCCACATTGTAGTCCGGGGTCGGGAATAATTGATCGCCCGAACTCATATACACCTCCATGAGAAGTCTTCGAGCTCTTCACCGTTCTGAATCCAGTGGATTAGGCCTAGGGTGGTAAGTTCGCCGGGATGCACTGTTTCTAGAGTCCTTGCAGCAGAATTGTCCCGATAAGCGAGCCGGAGCTGTAAACACATCTCTGAAAGGTGCATGCGCTTTAAATTCTGAATCAAGCTCAGTCATGATTTCCGAAACAGGCCATTAAGAGTGAAGATGTCAAATTTGTTTGCTCAAGTCGTTGTTACGGAATAGTGAATTAAGCCTTCAAGTGCAGTCGTGATCTCCGAAAAGGGTCATTAGCAAAAGAGAGGGTCCACTTAGACTTTTGCTATGAGACTACCTTATGGCTAGCGAGGCACACAGCATACTCTGCCCATATTTCGCTTCAGATGGGATACAAGTGCCATCAGCTCGCACGAATGTATACGGCAAACACACGCAGTAATGACACTCACCTATCAGGTGAGTGGACCCTTCATGGCTAAGGCCCATTGAGGACATGGTTGTCAGGACTGAACGATCAACATTTCAACGGCTGGCCAGATGCGCGAGCATGTTGTCTGAGTCCAAAGCTACTATTGTAAGTATCGCGCGCGCTTTCGCCCTGGCAGTGTTACATGGTCCCCAGTTAAGCTCTATAGCGTTATTGAGAGCAGATGGGTCGACGTAGATTGCTTGTACGACGAGTTACGACCTCGCTGGTCGGTGATAGTCTCCTCGTAGAGTTGTCAAATACTTTGCCCAGACTGTGCTAGCAAAGAGCGATGTTGAATCGAACGGGAGCTTCAGCATGCGGCGAAACAGGGTTCAATGATCCGGTGAATGCAATATCGTGTAAATTCGTGAAGAGCCCAGCCCAAGTTCCGGTATTATACAGTGATGATTGTATCATGCATAGAAGGAGACGAACATGCCCATCGGTCTCACATAGGGATCCTGGGCTGCGATGAGTTAGATGATGGCGCACGTAAGCAAGGGTGAATAGAGGATAACGTACTGGACCTCCCCTTGGTGGAGCTCGAGGGGCTGGTGCAAAGAGAGGTGGCGGCGCCCTGGCAGCTTCCCCAGGTTCCGTTTGTGGTATCGGAATATTCAAATACCTCGAGAAGAACTCGTCCAGCCAGCTGAAGAACATCTGCTTATCTTCATCTGACAAATTGGCCCAGTCGATTCGGTCTGCACCGACCCCAACCCTGTCGTCATTGAACGTCGAAACAGTCGATAGCCTTGGAGCGACTGGCGGCGG